TAGCAAGTGACTAGATGTCAAATACAGAAATAATAATGCCTTTCCTGTAGGTATTAAGGGAGGGAGGAAGAACTAGTTTCTCAGGAGGCCATTTTTGACACCTTTCTCTCTACATTTTCTTTGTGGGTTACTTCAGTCAGTCCTCTGATTTCAGTAATTACCTAATTGTTTTGGACTTCTTGGTCTGTGGTTTGTAGCTAAAACCTTTCTCTTGGTCTCTAGACCTGTATTTTGAAAAGTCTCCTGCTAGGAGTCTCTCAATCCTGTCTCAAATATATTATGTACAGTATATTCAGAGGCTCCTGATGAGCATACTGTCACTTACATACTGACTCTTTTCCTATAGGTCAGCTAAACAGAAGTCTGAGACATCATCTTGAAGTTGGCATTAAGAGATGATAATGACCTAACACTCACTCACCCCCACCTCCTTTTTTCAGAAGGCTGAGAAAGTCACATTCAGTGGGAAAGTGAATTGAGGTTAGACGGAGAAGGGAGTACAGCATTAGAAATTAGTGTTTAGAGGGAAAGAAGGAAGATGGTAGCTTGAGGAAGGGGACAAAGAATTAATCTGTCTTTTGGATAAGAGACACTGTAGCAGATGTTCTTTTGGATAAGAGGCACTGTAGCAGATGTTCTTAGTGTCCTAGCCATATTTCTTTGGCTTTCATCTCGATATTGTCTACTTACATTTATGAATTTCTGCCTGAGAACTTTCTTACTGGCCATAGAGACATGCTTGGCCTGTGTGCAGGGCAAGCCAGAAATGCCAGGGAGTTAATGCTGTCAGAAAGGCTTTCAGCCACTGATGGATGGGGATGTGGTGGATAAATACCTCGTTTTCACATCTCTTCTTTGGGATAACTGAGCTGTGTTCTATACCATCCATTAGAGTTCTCCAGTAGGATCACACTCTGGTTGCCCATCAGGGTAACTGGCTTAATAATATATTCTTTCTTGACTGCCTTCCCTTCCCTATTTCACTTCTGATTTCCCCTATCAGTGTTTTTCCTGGATCACCTCTCAAACAACTACTTGTTCTTGTATCCTTAAATCATGTCTGCTTTTGGGGAAACCCAAACCACAGTAGACACTTTAGCATGGTAATAAAAAGAAATAAAGTTTGTTTAGCATTTATTAATAGTAAGCATAACTGTAAGTGCCTCATAATCTAATGGGATACGTCCTATTTTACAGATGAGCCGACTGAGGCACAGAGCAGTTGATTAACCTTCCCAAGATCACAGAGCTAATAAATGACAGAGCCTGCATTTGAACCTATGCTGTATGTCTCTAAATTCTGTCCTCGTAAGCTGGTAGGCTAAGGGAGAAGAGCAGGAATAATGAGCGAAAAAGAGAGAGTGAGGACAATTAATGGAGTAAGGCCCTCATGGAGATTATTTTGAGGTGGGTGAAAGGAAGGTAAAGGAAGTAGTACTTTCTAAGTGACGTCCCTTGCAACAGTTAAGTAGAGGGTTAGATTATGTGCTCTGAGCTAAATGGGTAGTGGTGGGATTTTGAAGTGGCTTGAAAGGTGGTAGATTTTCATGGTGGATGTACCTTTATTGTCAGAGAACATAACTGGCTGTAGACCAGCATTCTGATGATGCTTGTGAACTCCCAGTAGCTACTATTAAGGTTGTTATAGCTTATTGAAAACAATGTAAGTTACCAATATAGAAATGAATATAAATTATGAACAGATAACTCTCATGAGAAGTAATATATGTGCTAAAGATTTAAGCGACAGGAAAAGGAAGAAAAAGGAGCTAATAAAGAAGACTGAGAAAGAATCATCATCAAGGGAGATGGAACATTAAAATAGAGGTTCTTCTAGAAGCTGAGGGTGGGGAGTATTTAAAGAAGTAGACTGTTTGATAGTACTCATATGTAGAAGAATCTAAAGGATGAAGACTGAAGGTAAGGAATTCAGTAGGCAACAAGAAAGTTTGTGATGTTGAGAAGTCTCATACACTTGTAGGAGCTTGATGGTAGGGAATTGAAAAAGTTTGAGACAGTTGTTCCTCAAGAAGTTTAGTGATGAAGAGGGCAGAGGGATAGAGAATCATTTAAACTATTTTTTTAAATTGGAGGAGGCCAGTGGGCCTCTAGGATTAGAAGCCATAGAAGACAGAGATTAAAGAGTGAACAAAGAAAGGGTGTAAGTGGTTGAGCAAAATCCCAAGGATGGTGAATGAGTTGGGGTCCAGTGTATGGTAGGAAGGGTATACTTGGATACGGTAAGTGCTGTCTCTTTTGGGATGGAGGGACTTGAAGGAGGAGATTTAAGTTTTGGAAGAGGTCTCAGGGGCATATTTTCACCCTTTTTATCTTTCTCTCTGAATTCTAGTAATTTTTTCTGATCTCTTCAAATTCTCTCTTCACCGTGTCTAATGCTGTAAAGTCACCTACTGAGTCTTCAGTTGCAGTTATAGTTTTCATGTCCAGAAGTGGGATTTGATTCTTTTTCAGATGTGCTATATTCCCCATACCCTGCAGATATTTTAAAGCTAGTCTTTTTTTTTTTTTCTGTAAAGTTGGTAAGCATAGTTGTGTCCGAAGCTTTTATCTGGAGTCTGTTTGTCCTTCTGTTTTCTTTTTCCGCTAGTTCTCACTCATGGTGCCTTATATCTTTGTGTGCCTGGTTGTTTGACTGCTAACTCTCATTACCCTTCTGGTGGCTCTCTTAGTCCTAGGATAAGTGGACTGTCTTCAGAAAGTTTTATAGTTGCTCCATGGCTTGAGTTTTGCTTGGCCACCTAGGCTCTGTGTACCTAGATTATAAATCTGCATGAGGCATGGTCTAATAAAGTCATAACTTTTCAGAGTCTTTTCCTCCCCTCACTCTCTACTTCCAGTCTCTCCCCCACTTTCTTTTTCTTATGCTGCTCTGCCCACTGCCAAGGTAACTTTATTTATAGTCCTTACCACTCCCACACCCTCCCATTCCTATCCCCAACCTAAAGACTTCCAAATAAAATGAAGGGACTGAAGATATATAGGAAATTGTTTGCCTCTCTCTCCTAGATCAACTTGAACTGTTAAAATCTCTGTTCTTATTACTAATTATCAGCCTAGGTTAAGTAAATAAAAGTTTTCTACTTAGTAATCAGACTACTATCCCTCCCTAATTTATTCAGTGTTGCATGAACACAGTGAGAGTATCATTACATTAATTACACAGGAGAAATGTCTGGCTTCTATAGAAAAACTTCAGTTTACATATGGTGTTTTATAAATTAGTTGATTTTTTAAAATTGGTCTTCTATTTACTGACCTTGATAATCTATTTATTAATTCTTTATTATTATTATTACTGGATTATTTTGCATTTCCTATAAACATGGTTATGTTGTCTACAAATAAAAATGCTTTACTTTTTCCTTTTCAACCATTATGACTTTTATTTCTTTTGCTTGACTTACTGACTTCCTGTGCAGTATTAAATAGAAATGGTGACAATGTAAGTTCTTGTGTTTTTTCCCATTCTTAGTGGAAGTATTTAATTTTTCATCATTGAGTATAATTAAGTATAATGTTAGCTGTAGGGTTTTTGTTGATAATCTTAATTAGATTAAGTAGTTTCCCTTCTTTTCCTACTTAATGAGGCATTTCATCACAAATGATTGTTGAGTTTTATAAAATAACATTTCTGCTTCTGTTGAAATAATAATATTTTTCTGCTTATTCCTCTTATTCAGAATAAGGGGAAACATTTAAAAAATAAATTTTGCATTTTATTTATTATCCTTTTTATATGTTGATGGACACTGAAATTATTTTTAGGTCAATGGCTTTTTTTCCTCATAATTTTTGTATTGAGATATGAAATTCACATACCATAAAATAGACCTTTTCAAAGTATATCATTCAATTATTTTTAATATATTCACAACTTTGTGCAACCAGAACATTTTTATTCACTCCCCAAATAAATCCCATATCCTCTTGTAGTCACTCTCCGTCTCCTTTCCGTCAGCCCCTAGCAACCAGTAATCAGCTTCCTGTTTCTATGGATTTGCATATCTGGACATTTATATAAATGGAATCATACCATCTGTGATCTTTTGTGGACTTTGCTTCTTTCGCTTAGCATAATGTTTTCAAGGTTTATCCATATCGTAGCATGTGTCTACTGCATTCTTTTTTATGGCTGAATAATATTCTATTATATGGATGTGCCACACGTTATTTAATCCATTCATCAGTTCATGAACATTTCAGTTGTTTCTACTTTTTGCCTATGTAGTATTTTTGTTTCTATGTTCATGGAAGATACTGGCCTGAAATTTTCTTATTTTGAAATATCTTTTTCAGACTTCGGTATCAGAATTATGCTAACCTCACAAAATGAGTTGGGAAATGTTTCTTCTTTTTATAGTCTCTGGAAGAGTTAGTCTAAGACTGATATTGTTTGAAAGACTGTACCAGTGAATTCTTTTAAGTGTTTGAAGGAATTCTCTGGTAAAGCCATCTGAGTCTAGAGGGTTTTTTTTTTTTTGTGGGAAGGTTTTGACTAGGGATTCAATTTCTTTAACAGATATGACTACTCAGATATTGTGTTTTTTCCTTGTTTAGTGTCAAGAAGTTATATTTTTAGAATTTGTCCTTTTATTTAAGTTGTGAAATTTATGGGCAGTGTCTGTAATTATGTCCCCTTTCTAATTTATTTCTCATATGGGTAACTTGTGGTTTGATTTTTTCCTGACCAATCTTTCTAGAGGTTTATTAGATTTATTAATCTTTTCAGAGAATCTGTTTTGACTCCTTGATTTCCTCTATTGAATGGGTGCTTCCTGTTTCATTGATATCTGCTCTTATTTTTATTTCTCTCCTTCTACTTTCTACTTTTATTTTTAAAATTTATTTATTTATTTGGCTGTGCTGGGTCTTAGTTGTGGCATGCGGGATCCTTAGTTGCGGCATGCAGGATCTTTAGTTGCAGCATGTGGACTCTTCTTGCGGCATGCAAACTCTTAGTTGCGGCATGTGGGATCTAGTTCCCTGACCAGGGATTGAACCTGGGCCCCTGCATTGGTAGTATGGAGTCTTAGCCACTGGACCATCAGGGAAGTCCCATCTCCTTCTACATTCTTTACATTGAATTTGCTCTCTTCTTTCTAGCTTAAGTTGTAAGCCTACATCATTTACTTTCAAGCTTTCTTTTTTCATTGTATGCATTTGTATGCAGAAAGCTATATATTTCCCCAAAGTACTGCTTCAGTGACATGCCACAAGTTTTGATATGTCATATTTAATTTTTATTCCATTGAAAATATTTTCTAATTTCCATTGTAAGTCTCTATTATAGCTCTTTGACCCATAGGTTATTTAGAAATCTGTTTTTTTAGATTTTCAAACATTTGAGAATTTCTTAGTTTTCTTTCTGTTGTTGGATTATAGTTTAATTTTTCTGTGATCATTGTCCTTGGAAACATGTTGAGCCTTGGTCTGTTGTCCAGCATATCATCTATTTTGGTAAATATTCTATCTGCCTTAAAAAAGAATGTGTATTCTGCAGTTGTTGGATGTGGTTTTCTATGTATGTCAGTTAGATCAAGTTGATTAATCATGTTTTTACATTTTCCTGCATCCATGCTGTTTTGTCCTCTACTTGTTGTATCAGTTAGATAGAAGTATGTTAAAATCTGATTTTTTTGACTGTGGATTTGTCTTTTCTTTTTTTACGTCTCTCAGTTTTGCTTTATATATGTTGAAGCTATGCTGTTGTTATTAGATTCATTCGCATTTAGGATTTTTGTGTCTTCCTATTGAATTGACCCTTTCAGCATTATGAAATGTTCTGCTTATCTCTAATAACACTTCTAGCCTTAAAAATTACTTTGTCAAATATTAATATAGCCACACCAGCTTTTTTTGGGAGGCTGGTGAGTGTGTACAAGATGTATCTTCTGCAGTCCTTTTACTTTTAGTCTGTGTCCTTTCATTTAAAATTTTGACATAGCAATTTTTAAAGGAAGACCTTTCTTTGGTATTTCTTGTAGTGTTGGTATATTGACAAGGAATTGTGTCAACTTTTGTGGATCTAAAATTATCTCTCTTTTTGTCTTCATTAAAAAAATTTTTTTTTTGATGTGGACCATTTTTAAAGTCTTTATTGAATTTGTTACAATATCGCTTCTGTTTTTATGTTTTGGTTTTTTGGCTGCGAGGCATGTGGGATCTTAGCTCCCCGACCAGGTATCAAACCCTCACCCCCTGCATTGGAAGGCAAAGTCTTAACCACTGGACCGCCAGGGAAGGCCCTGTCTTCATTTTTAAAGGATATATTTGATAGATATATATAATTCTAGGTTGCTAATCCCCCCTATTCTCCACCCCTCAGCACTTTCAACACAAAGAATAGAAGGTATCAATTTTATTGTTTCTTCAAATATATCTTTTCTTCTCTGGCTGCTTTTAAAATTTTCTTTCTATCCTTTGTTTCAGCAATTTGACTGTGCCAAGCATCTGGTGTGCCTAGGTGTGGTTTTCTTTGCATTTTCCTGCTTGAGAGTTCCCTGAATTTCTTGAATCTCTAGGTTGACTTCTTTCCTTACTTTTGTAAAATTATCATCAATTATTTCCTCACCTGTTGCTTTTGTTCCGTTCTCATTTTCTCTCTCTTTCTGAGATTACAATTACATGAATATGAGACGATTTAACTGTGTCCTGCATGTTTCATACTCTCTTTTTTGTTCATCACATTATTTTCTCTGTGGGGGAGTTTGGATATTTTTTCTTGGCCTGTCTGCAAGTCAGTGAATTCTGTTTTCCTCTGGTCTATTCTGCTTATTAGAGTCTTTTGACAAGTTCTTAATTTCAGATATTGATTTTTCTGTTCCAGGAAATACACTTGGCTTTTTAAAAAATTTTTTTTTGTTGAAAATTACATCATTTCATCCATTTTGTTCAACTTTGCATCTATGTCAGGTCCTTGCCTCCTAATGTCAGTCTGGGTTATCTTGAGTCTGTCTGATTGTCTGGTTTTCTCTTGATTATCTGTCTATCACATTATTTTGCTTCTTTGGATGTCTCTTAATATGTTTACTTTATGCGTAACATTATGTGTAAAAGAACAGTTAATTTATTTCAGATGATATTTTCTTCCAGAAAGGTTTGTTCTTTATTGTGCTAGACAGATAGCGTGAGGTGTTGGCTACCTCAGTCCAAATCAGAGATAAAGTCGATTCCTCCATCTGCTGAGATTCTGTCTTCTAAAACTGGGCAATTATGGGAAATCGACCCTGCCCTTTTGGCCCAGCCTCCCTATCTTTCTTCAGTGCCCCACCACTAAGCAGATGTACTATTAGATGTCTTGGCCACATATTCGGAGCTTTTCTAGATTCCAGTCTGTCATTCCAGCCCATGCAGACATCTATAAAGCACCCGAGTTTTTCGTTTCCTTTAGTGAGCTCAATCCTCACTTGTACCCAAACTCTGCAAATGCCTTCATGCAAGAAAATGCCAGCGATCTCTGCTCAACTTGGAAGTGCTCTTCCATCTCTGGATTTTTACTTCATCCAATCCTCAGTTGCTTCCAGATCTTTCTATATTAGTCTAGTTTTTGAAGGAAAAACAATGGTTGCTTCTATCTGGTATCTTACTTTAGTAAAATAAAAGTGAAAGTCAGGAGTTTATCTTTGCAGAAAGAAAGGCAGATAATTTTAAGGGTGCTTATTGATATAAGCATAGTGATATTCTGAATATTTTTATCTGTGTTGCATACTAATTTTTTTTCCTTCTGATATGAGCCTGTTTATCAAAATATACTCTAGGTCAAGGGTCAACAAACTATGGTCCACAGACCAAATCCGACTCAGTTCCTTTTTTTGTATGGCCTGTGAACTAAGAATGGTTCTTACATTTTTAAAATACATACATACATAAATAGCTATATAAATAAAAAAATAAAAGGAGACAAATATTTTGTGACACATGAAAATTGTATGAAATTCAAATTTCAATATCCAGAAATTACAATCGGATTGTAATACAGCCACATTCATCTATTTTTGTGTTGTCTATGGCTGCTTTCATGCTAACAGATGAGTAATTGCAACAGAGATCTTATGGCCCACAAAGTATAAAATATCTATTATCTGTCCTTCTATAGAAATAAATTTGCCTATTCCTGTCTTAGATCATAGACTCAGGAATTTTTCATTTCTCATTTTTAAGGGAAATTGAACAAAAGACTGAAACCCTCTTATTCCGTAAGTTCTTTGAATTTTGAGTTATTTAAATACTAGCATTTTAGAGTTGGAAGGGACCTCAGAGATAATCTCTTTTATCTCTTTATTTTGCAAATGAAGAAACAGATTTAGAGTCAGAGAAGTTTTAAATTAAATTATGGCTAATTTTTGTTTTGTTAGAAAATAGACTCAGTAATAAGTTGTTATAGAAACTAATGATCTATATCACAGAACAACTTGCAAAATTCATTTGTTCTTATTACAGAAGTATTTGGTTTTACTAAACAGTGGTAGCTATTAAGAGAATTTCTTCTTTGGAATTTTTAAAGTAAATATTTTAAAATAAATATTTAGAGCATGTTAATAACCTTTGCCTTTCATTACCACCCGTAATTCTTTCAAATCTCATGGGTATGAGGTTTTTTTTTATGAGAAGACTAAAAATCTTATAGGACCAATTCCAGACATTCTTCATTAAGCTCCTATTGATTTAGGATTTAAAGTCCTAAATCATCAGAAATTCCACAGTGAAATTTTAATGTGTAAGACTTGTTTCTAGAGTTTTTCTTTTATCTCTCCATCCTCAGATACCATGAAAAGTTTATTTAAGCTTAGTTCTGAAATGCAGTCATATAGTGGGATGTTATATTACTAAAAAATAGCATTTTTATTTTCTAATGTTGAATACAGATCTTCTACATATAATTTTTAGCTTATTACTAGCTCTTTTGGATAACTCTACTTCTAAAACAGCCAAATCAACAAAAAACACAGTAAAATCAATTTGTGGGGATTTGGGGAAAGCTGATTTTTCAGCTGATCTGTATGCAGGATTTGGTGGGTCCAGATTCATTAAAATTGTGCCAAATTAAATTAATTTTAATTAAACTAATTAAATGCCAAATGCATAAAAAGAAATATTTTAGGAATATGTATAAAGTCATGTGAACTTTAAGAAGGTCTGTTAAACAAAACAGTCAAAAGTATTGTTATATGCTTTGGAAAATTTAAGTCCGTGATAAGTAGGCTTCAGGAAATTCATCTTAATTTATATTTATAAATTCTGTTTCTCGGAAGACTGGTCTTGAATGAACCTTCGTGCTTTTCTAAATTATATAGAAAGGGCTAACCTTTTAGCATTTACATATTCCTTTTGCTCAAATAACTGATTTCACTTAAGTAAACTTTGAGTATAAAGGAAAGTTGGTTTCCTAAACCACACATGAAAAATACTCATTGCTTTTCATCAACTTGTTTATTCACCTGATATTTCTTGAACATCCATGATGTGTCAGGCACTGATGCAGGTGCTGAAAGGGAAAATGTTGAAATAAATATTTTTTGCTCATAGTTGAATATATTATGTGAGGAGGTATATCTGTTCATGTGTAGCATTTGATACTATTACTCTCTTTCTCTTTTCTTTTGTAGCATGCTATCTTGGGGAAATCCCATCTACATACATGATTTTCATTACCTCCTTTGCACCAAAATTTGAGTAAAATACTCCCATGGATAATTCCTTAATGGACATTTCTGGCTAGATATCCTTTATTTTATTTAATTTTATTTATTTATTTATTTATTTTACATCTTTATTGAAGAATAATTGCTTTACAATGGTGTGTTAATTTCTGCTTTATAACAAAGTGAATCATTTATACATATACATATGTTCCCATATCTCTTCCCTCTTGTGTCTTTCTCCCTCCCACCCTCCCTATCCCACCCCTCTAGGTGGTCACAAAGCACCGAGCTGAAATCCCTGTGCTATGTGGCTGCTTCCCACTAGCTATCTATTTTACATTTGGTAGTGTATACATGTCCATGCCACTCTCTCACTTTGTCACAGCTTACCCTTCCCCCTCCCCATATCC